TCCTGTGTGTTTCAAATCCCTAGATCACTTAAATCCAGTGCAGTATCAATGGCATGTAAATGACAACAGTGTCAAATGGCTATGTTGTAGATGGTTATATTTACATGGTTATATTACACACGGCTACAACATGTTCATTGGGAGATAGTGACAGAGCCTGTGCATTTTCTGTGTGGTATAATTTTTGGAACATTTAAAAAATAGTGTGTGTGTGTGTGTGTGTGTGTGTGTGTGTGTGTGCGCGCGCGCGCGTGCGTGTGCATATGTGTGAAAGAGTGCAGGTGTGCATATGCTATGGCATGTGTCTGGGTTGGAGGACAATTTGGGGGCTTTGATTCTCTCCTTGCACTGTGGGATCTGGGGGCTGAACTCACCAGATTTGTGTACCTAATGCTTTTACCTGCCAAGCCATCTTTGTAGATTACCCCCACCCCCACCCCACCTCCGAAGTGTTTTTGATTTGCAATAGTTTGAATTTGGGTGTCAGAACCCAAGGACACCAAAGTCCTTGTTATCTTCCTTCCCTGTGGATGACTCCGAGGCAAAAATTATCAAGACATAGTTACATGTGTTATATCCCTCTTTTTCTTTTCTTGTCAGTATTTTTACTAAGTTTCCTAGGCACCAAAGAGATGAGGGCTTTTGAGGGAGGGATTTTGGGGATTTCCACAGACGAAATACATTCAGGTCAGTGTTCAATATGCAGAATACCTCCCCAGCACACTTTACCAGCTCTGTGTTGGGGGCAGGGCATGGGAAGAGGCAGGGGATAGCAGAAGATTTGGGTGATAGCAGTTCCCGTCCTGGAATCCCATACAGATCAATGGATCCTTGGGACTGTTGCCCAACAGGCTGAGTCTAGGCTAGGACTTCATGAGTGTTTGTATTCATGCAGGCTCCAGTTGCTTGGGAGAGCAAGAGGCCCTGTTGTCTGGGGAGTTGGGGAAGGAGATTGGGAAGAGCATAAGTTGAGTTTGGCATTGGTACCAGTCTGATACCCTCAGGTAATGGAAAGAGATTTGGACTAAAGGAACGTACTGGAAACACATTGCCTAACTAAAGACTTAATCAGTCTGGAGCACTGGCTGGCCTCTGGGGCTATGAGAAGATGAGTCCAAATTACACTCATTCACCATGGGCTGCCTCCTATGGGACTAAATTCTAGAAGCATCTCTCTGGGACCATCTGACTGCAGGAGGTCCCACACCTGGGCAAAGACTCCAAGTAGGAGAAGGTGTATTAACTTCTCCAGCTTCTGCAGTCGCCCTGGCTCTCAAGAGCCCTGGAGCAGGGGTTCTGCTGCAGAGAAAGGGGATCTTGACACCAAGCACCTGAAAAAGTGAGTGTCCCCTCTGAAGACCACTGTCACCTTGGACTGCCTCCTTGGCCATCACAGTCACAGGGCCTCTGCTCTCCATGGCAATGCCATTGGCATATGTTGCTCTGATTTTCTATCACCATGGCAACTGCGGGAGCTCAGGTGCTCTTCACTGTCAGGTGCCCCAGCATCTTATGTACAGGTTTCCTGCTTCTAGTAGTTCGTAATTCCAGTCCTTTCTGTCCAATCATTGCTGCTGCTGCTGCCGCCGCCGCCGCTACTGCCGCCACTGCCTTAACCTGAACCAAAGCATTATGGTGGCTCACATCTTTGATATTCTCCCAGAGCTTCAAGCCTATGCCCTTTCTTGGCCCTGCCCAGCACATTTCCAACCTTACCACTCACTCCCGAAACTCTCTCCCCAGTTACATGGACTCACAAACATACTCTGCACCTCTCCACGTGTGTGTCTTTCTCTTTGCTAGTTCTGTTGTCTCCCAGGCCTTCCCCGGGCTCTTGGCCTCAACAAACCTCTGCTCCTCTGAAGTTTGGCTGACCCCTCAGAGAGAGGGCCGCTTCCTGTGAGCTCTGGTGGCACTTGTGTGCATTGATCCCCAGGCCCATTTCTGTCCGATGCCTCTTTGTTTTGCTGGATGGACTCAATGGACAGCATGGTACCATTCTTTGTATTTCTCTTATTCACAACTACAGTACTGGACACATGGGGGCTCGAGAGATAACCTGGTGCTTTCTTTTTCATAAGAGAAAGGAGATGAACAATTAGGAAAAGGGAAATTTTACAGGGCTGTAGTGTCGAATCATCAGTGGAGACCAGGCAAGCTGGAGCAGCTAGGAAGCCAGGAAGGATGGATGCGATGGTTTTTGCTTTTTTTTTTTTTTTTTCCTTTTTTAATGATACAAACCAAATGAAGACTTTGGTTGTCTGCTTCCCAGGGGGATTTTGAAAAGGTGGGTGGCTTAATGGATCCCCTAGAGTAGCCTGGTACTGAGGATGTTGACTTTCTGAAGATCAACACTCTTGTCTATATAATCAGAGTAGGTACAGCATGAACTTAAGCAACATCAGCAACAACAGTGATGGGCTATGAGTTTACCAACACTCATGGATTGCAACTGGATCATCCCCATGGCTTGCACCAGGATGGGACGTAGATCTGGGTCATTACATTCTTTGCATGAAGAGTGAGGAACCTGTAGCAGTCAGCCGTGGGACCCCTGGGAAGCAGACAACCTTGGGATTGATGTTGATAGGTAACTTCTCAAGGTCAGTGGCATAGCCGGTTCACTGGGAAGGTCAGCCTGGGTCTCCTGCCCTGTCTCAGATCTGCTCATGCCTCTCTTTAGAGAAGGGTCGAAAGGCTCAAATTGAGTTCTTCACGGTCCTCATAGAACTGGGAAGACTATGTCCACAGTAAAGTTCAAGTATGGAACAATGAGAAGGGAGGGCGGGAAGGGTCAGATGACCAAGTATTCAGCTGAGCAGTAAACACAAAGAGGTGGCTTGCTCGCTCGGAGTGTCTGGAGACCTGGCTATGAAGATGGCAGCTGTCCAGTGGGGTCAGTGTGATGGGAGCTGACAGGTAGAGGTGGCCTTTCATAATCATCCTCTGTCTTTCTGGTCCCAGCCTGACACATGTCCTTCTACTTCAGACCTTCCCTAGCACCTCCTCTTCTCATCACATGGGCGCCCCTTATTGAGATGCCCATCGATTCCCGTGTCTACTCTTTTGAATTGTAGTTTCTATGTTTAGTGACTAGCCAGGCTTATCACTAGGCTGGGGCCAAGTCTGTTCTTTGTGTGTTCAGAGACTCTTTAACATGATGGCAAGCATAAGGTGAGATGCCCTATAAAGAGTGGGCACTGGTCTATCATCCACGCTTCTCTGCTTCCAGCCAAGGGGCTTCTAACCTCTGTAAGTCTCACTTTACTCAATGGGAAAATGGACATAAATGTACTTCAGACCTAGAGCTAATACATGTACATGTGTGTTTCTCTGGACCTAGCATGTGTGCAATAAACACTATCCTTCCAACACTCCTTAGCCCACAGTCATCACCACACAGGATAGATACATAATGCATATTGCAAATGCATGCCTAGTAGTTCATGGAAATGAACTGTGGCATCAGTTTTTGTAGGTCTCATTCAGAACTCTGATTTTAGCCAACAAGTACGAGGTACCAGGATTGATGAAAGAGCTTAGAATCAGCCTCATCCCTAGTGAATAAAGAAGTTGGATAAACCAAGATTAAGAAAATGGCTTTACTAAGTAGTGAATGCCAAGGAGAAGAAGATAAAAATCCAATAAAAGGAGTGGGATAAATTTGAGATGGAAGAAATAGATTGAAAGCTCTGGGGATTCTTGTTACATCAATAGTGAAGAGTCTACCATGGAGCAACCTGCATAGCACCAGGTTCAGGCAATGGCTTTTAGTAAATCCCTCCACTTAGTTTTAAGGTGTTGGTAGTGATGCATTGCATGGTGTCCCTGTGAGAAAGGGGTTCAATGGTGTATATGGAACTCAACTTTGCCCAGCACAAAGTACTTCCTCCGCATATCCCTTGGAAGCAGCAACAAATATTTACCTTAAAGCTGGGCTCATCAGAGGCTGGGGAGGTAGCTTATTTTGCATAGTGCCTGCCCCATGCAAGCGTGGGGACGTGAGTTCAGATCCCCAGCACTCACATAGAAAGCTGTATGACGTTGTAATGCACCTATGATCCTAGCGGTGCAGTAGAGAAGAGCAGATCCCTGAAGCTCGCTGGCCAGCCAGTTAGCCAAGTCAGTGAGTTTCAGCTTCAGTGAGACTCCTGGTCTAAAGAAACTAAAGGAGTTGGGGATTTAGCTCAGTAGTAGAGCGCTTGCCTAAGGCCCTGGGTTCAGTCCTCAGCTCTGAAGAAAAAAAAAAGGAAGGAAGGAAGAAAGAAAATAGAGAGTAATTAAGACACCCAGTATCAACCCTCTGGCCTCCATGTATGTACACATCCACAGGAACAAGTACATGCACCACACACCATATACAATAAACACACCACATACTTGCAAAAATTAAAAAAAAAATAGAAATGAGTTCATCTGTGCCATCAAAGCATTAGGCTCTACCTGGTTAATCCTTGGAGTGTCATGTGACAGGTGCTTAGGGAGGGTGTGTGTGTGTTGCTGAGGGTGTGTGTCAGACTGTACCTTAAGGGAAAGGAAGAGGCATACAGGTGTCCCTTGAGACATAGCATGATGAGAGCATGTGTTTGTGGAGTGGGTTCTGTTTCATTTGTCTCTGGTTCCTGGTACTCAATGATGTCACGTTGGGTACAGGAAGCTGTAGCAATGGTGCTTTCCCTTGAGTACTGAGCCAGATGCTAATAATATTGGCCGGGGTATTTCAGAGATCAAACCGAATGAGACTTTATCTTCCTCAAAGCCGGTGCTGTCGAGTAGGAAGGCCTGGCCGCCTCTGTGCACCCCGATGTCATCAGGCTCGCCCCAAGATAGTGGGAATAAATGGTATAGTTGACCAAGGCAAGCTAGCCACGTGGTGATTGAAAAGGGAATCGAAGATTACATTCTGAGTTTCCATCCTTTTTCTACTGTAAGACACCAGGAAAAGCCTAGTCAATTCTTGACTACTACAGTTTGGTAGAGGAAAAGAAGTGAGCGCCGAGTTTATGTAAAACAATCATGTTTTATTCATCGTTTGGTAGAAGTCATTCTTATGGCATGTGAGGTGAATGATGTCAGCTTTTCCATCTCAGCTGGAGCAAATGTTACTGGACTCTTATCCTCTGCTTGGTGCTGGGGAAACCCCGTGGAAGAAGTCCTGGCTCCTCGCCCAGGCACTGGAAATCAAGCATCTTCTTAGACAGCTAAATCCACATGGGTGTAGAATGAATCCTGTGGTCCCCACAGAGGCTGGGGCTGGGATGGTAAAGATAGAGAATATGGACAAAGGACTCAAAGGGGCTGGCATTTGATCTCTAGCTCAAGTTCAGTGTGTGGCTCTGCCTCCATAAGAAAGAGTGCTTCAGTAGGATACCGGCCCTGATGACTGTCGTGACATGGACAACCTGGGAAAGGCACCCATGAGTGAACTCGTGCTGACCTTGGTGCAGCTCTGTTGCAGTGTGAAGAGACCAAAATCCCGGTTCCCACATTGAACCTGGCTGTGTGGCCATTTCCAAGTCACTTAGCATTGTTTGAGGTACGTGTCAGTCATGGTTGACTAGTTGTCCTTACTATGTCTAGAAATTGTCTAAGGAAAGACATTTGGAAGTCATGGACCTGAAGTGGCTGTGGTTGGGAAGGCATTCTGGAACATTGTGACTCCACCCTGTCTCCCTGACGGCATTGTCTCTGAGTTCCAAAGAATTGTCCTCAGCATGTGCATACTTTTGTCTCCCGAGTTCTTTCTGGACTCTTCCTTCAGGATTTTTGATAAATTACATTTACATATTAGAATCAAGTAATTGGCTCTTTTCAGACAAGTAGCATAATGTGCATATTTTCCTTGTGAAAATGGGAAATTTTAAGTCATTATACCTACCTCTTAATGAAGAACACAAATGCTTTAATATGAGCAAATTACAGAGTAAAAGTCTGCGGTTGGCCAAGACCCAGGACATTTACAAAATCTGAGTGTTCCTAAGTCATCAGAGAGACTCTACATGTGTTTGGGTCTGCATGGTCAGTGTTCATAGGAAGAGCATACAGGGCAGACAATCATTAAAAATCATGTCAGGGTTTTATTGCTAAGAGACACCATGACCACAGCAACTCTTACAGTGGACAACATTTTATGGAGACTTGGCTTGTAGTTCAGAGGTTTGGTCCATTATCATCATGGCAGGAAGCATGATGGCAGACTTGGTGCCGCAAAGGTAGCTGAGAGTTCTACATCTGAACTGGCAGGGAGCAGGGAGAGAATGCCACACTGAGCGTGGCTTGAGCATCTGAGACCTCAGAGCCCACTCCCTAGTGGCACACGTCCTCCAACAAGGCCACACCTCCTAATAGTGCCGCTCCCAATCGGCCTATAGAGGCCATTTTTATTCAAACTGTCAAAGTATCACTAAATGTAATCTTAGAACTGCCTAACATTGAGGCAGGGTGATGGCCCAGTGAGTAAAGGCTTGTTGTGCCAGCCTGCCAGCCTCAGTTTGGGACAGTACCATGGATCTAATCCCAGCACTCTTACAGAGAGGTAAAAGGTAGAGACAAGACAATGATCCAGAGGCTCACAGGCCAACTGGCCTGAAGTACACATTACAACAGCAGAATTAACAAAAGTTTGGCTAAGTATATTTAGGTACACCTAAACAGTAAAATATTCCACAAGCAAGGCAGACATTGAACTAACTCCAAAAAATTGCCCTCAGACCTTCACTCACACGCTGTGGCATTAAGTAGACTTACACTACCACATGCACACACAAACCCTCACATCACATCATACATATACATACAAGCATCAATAGAAAAGACATATCTAACACTGTATCAAATTATATGCCCCAATCTAGAAATTCTCCCCTAAGGAAGAAGTGTAGAAATTTGCAGCTGTTTTACTGGCTCATTGTCTGTTGATCTGTGTTATCCTGGCTGGCAGTCACCTGTCTGATACTTGTAGCTGGTGATCAATTCTTTCAGATTTCAGAGAAGCATAGCTGGTAACTAGTCCCGTCTGATCAGTTTGGCGCTAGGAAGTTGTATATAGGTCAACAAGATGAATGGTAATGATTACAGGACGACACGTAGTGGGGATGTTTATGGGAAACCAGGCACCATTGCTCAAGATACTTGCTGAATGTCCGGAAGCCTATGAGAGGTTTTGCCACACTTTCCCACAACTACATTCCACTGCAAAGATGGCCTCTGCCTCCAGCCACACAGTCCCCGGATGAGCTAAGAGGAGTCAATGTCAGGTCAGGGTGATAGAATTGGAAGGAACAGTGAAAGGAGGTGTATGATTTCAGAGGACGTGTTCCTTAGCCACCAGAATAACTTCACCTTGGTTGGTTTGAAACTCCATCCTGAGAGATTCGGCGCTGTGGCTAAGACTTGGCTTCCGTCAATAATCGCCGCTGGGCAGGGTGTGATGAGAGACACACGGAGGTGAACTGTTTCTAGGATGTGCATTGGCCCAATCTCTGTCGTCTTTCGGTGTGTCTGACAGTCATTTCTTACCTAGCATTTGCCAATCTTATCTGGCATTTACATGCAATTTATGCAAATGCAATTTATGCAAAGGACATAATTAGGCATGTATACAAAAGAAGTGTGGAGTTTTCTACTGTAGCCCAGAAATGAGAAGTGATGGATAACAGCTTAGATCTCTTTTTAATTTAAAAAAAAGAGTTTGGCTAAGTATATTTAGATACACTTAAACAGTAAAATATTCCACAGCTATCCTAAACATTGTTGTAGATGTATATTGAGTGATTTGAAGATTTATTTTCTAAGTGTGTATGTATGAGAGAGAGGAAGTGTGTATGTGTGTGTGTGTGTGTGAGAGAGAGAGAGAGAGAGAGAGAGAGAGAG